AGAGCGGTTACCCAGCAGTGGCAAACAAGACTTTCTTACCTTAGCATGTGCGTAGGTTATAAGGCTCACCCACTTTTCCAAGGGCTTGGACTTCAGCTGCTTCACTGGGATACAGTTGTGGAGGACTTTTTGCACGAGCTCATTGTGGATGGAATCTCCAAACTGGATGTAACAATATTTTGCGCTTATCTCCACCAAATCCTCCTCCTGAAACAATTAATCTGTTAAAAGAGTCCTAGAAAGATGTCACAAAGTCCACCTAGCCTTGTTCAACCTTGAAGGCAGTATAGGAACTGGGTTTTCTATATTTTTGTCAGAATAACCCTAGACAGCATTCCAGGATAAGGACAGATGAACTTCAAATAATCATAGTGGCAAGAAGAATAACAGCAAGGATATTAAAAAAGGACACAGATAGCCCCTTTGGACATGCCTCCAGCTGCCACATGAACTGAAAGTTCAGAAAAAATTGTTCAGACAATTATCTGGACAGAAATTGTCCATTAGAAGGGGAGAGTGGTTCAGACGCACATGAAATTTCACCTCTCTTCCTGCTTCTCCATGCTGGAAACCTTTATATTATTTTCTCTCTTCATGAGGATAAATAAGGAAACCCACCTTCTCACAGCGGTACTCTCCAAAACGGATACCACGAATGACTTGGTGGTAAATGAGGTCAGTGCTGAAGGGATCCTCCTGGCAGTTGTGCCAAGGGGTAAAGATTTCCTTCCGGAAGTAGAGCCGCCAGGGTGCGTTACGTTCATGGGTGCCCTGCTCCTTCACTAGTTGCTCACACTGAGAGATGGCATCCAAGACATGATCTCGTCCCCCACCCAGCGACCAGACCTAGAATAAATGGACAGTGCGTTTACTGGCATGCCTGCTTTGGATCTGAGTGAAGGGCAACAAACCCAAAGCTCCTGATCTCCTGACAGCAAAAAAGCAATGGAAAGGTGAGCAGATATAGTCATATTTTGGTAACTGTATATATTTTTATGCACAGGGATGGTATTGGGAAAAATAAATTGGGAGGTAAGGGAGAAGAGCAAGGCAGCTCCAATTTGCAGTGTTTTGCCTATCTCCTTGTACTTCTGCTTATCACCTATGTGTCCCCTTAACTGCACACGCAAGTGTTGCTGTAGTCTACGCAATAGTGCTAGCTCTGAATTAATTTCTTTGCACTTAGTGCCTAACTGTGAGCATGAAGATGTCAGGCTGCTGCGTATGTCTGTTCTGCAACGTTACCATAAAGAAACTAGGGGAAAAGAGAGGCCAAAATGCCAGTATGTGAGCGAACAGCAGCAGCCCTGATGAAGACCTTGGCATTCAATGCATGGGCCACATGATAGGGGCTGCGTCAGCAGCACTGATTCACATGACAAGAAAGTTGTGTACCACAGTGCAGCTGGGAAATGTATCTTTTGAGCTGGGCTCCCTAGAGTAAGCTAGTCCTGCCCCTGCTCCAGCTGTTCTGTGGTGCTGCATGTGTGACCAGCAGCAGGCAGGATCGCAGAACAGTAAGGAGATCACAGTGCTGCCCTGTCCCTCTGTGAGAGCAGGGACATGTGTCAACTGCATGACCTGCCAAAGGAAACCTTCCAGGTCTGCAGCAGGAAACGCTGAGTGGCCAGCCAGCAGAAAGGCAAAATAGGATTATCAGGTCCTGAGACTCTGGGAGAACTGATTTGGTTCTAGCATAGGAAGGGGATGGAGGCGCTTCTAGGACATAAATCAGAGGGAGTCCTCAGCCAGGCTGGATGGACAGCAGAAACCACAGACAAAGAAGGCAAATTTCATTCTGGTTTTCTACACTTTACCTTGTCAAACACAGCAATGTAGAGTGAAAAACCAAACACATCCTTCAGCTTGGTTTTATCTGCTATGAACTGACATATCTCTTTGGCAATGGAAGCAGAGTCTGCAGGGACAGTGATGCTTTGGCCATTCATCAGTGTGACATTAAACACAATGGGTTTCTTCTGCTTTGTTGCCTGCAAGTCGGAGTTAAATGAGAGATAAAAATTATGAGCAAAACTTGCTTTTCTGTGGAGAATGAAGAAGGTATTTAAGAGCCCCACACATTGTATGCCCTGGTTGACAATCATTAAGTGAATCTCCAAAGCCCACATGGTTTCTTCAGTGCATTGTGAGTGTTAAGTACAAATGACATCCGTGGAACAGCACTGGAATTAAGTTCCCTCCTCCCCACAGCTCAGGGGCCTAATGACTTTTGGGCACAGCCTTACATACAGCAGCAGAGAAGTAGCCTGCAGTAAGCATTTTGCCTAGGAAGGTAGGTGTTAGGTGATAGGGTCGCTCAAGCTCAGGAGGAGGGAATCAAACTCAGGTCTCCACTTACGGGATGGGGGGTGTGTGTGTAATTATTAGGCTGACATTGAAAGGGGGACGGCGATGTAGCCATACCACACACACATCCCCAACCCATTTTAAGAGTATGAACCCTGCTCAGTCCTTTCCAAGGACGATGTTAAGAGCTTCCCTCATGAGATGGTTCTGGCCTGCGGTGCCTGAGTGGATGCAGGCATCACCCTGCATAGCAGGTGTCGCAGCTCTTGATTTACATCCTCTGTTGGATTTAGGTTGACTGAATAGCCAGAGAAGAGGCAAATCTAAGAAGCTATCCAGACCAAGGCAGCTTGTCCTCAATCCCCCTGTGCGATTGATTTCCGTTATTAGACTTAGGAAGATCTGTCCTCACAGGTTAGGAAATGCAATCCAGCATGAACTGACACGGATCAATACAATTAAGTAATGAGGGAATTGCTACCTGAAGTTCCAGCCAGCTAGGAGGTTCAGTCCGTGCTCCATTGGCATAGGTACGTCTCAGACGTTCAGCACAATATGGTGCATAGCCTGGGGGTCCATTGTGGATGAAGTTCAGTAGGTACTATACACAGAGCACAAGGGAGAGTTAAGAAACACTAATCCTCATAAAACACTAGAAATCTTCTGCAGCTGATAGATTAGATTAGGATATTGGTTATGCTTAGTTACAGTTCACCAGGAAGTTTAAAAGATTACGGTTAGGATCAGTGTTTTGGAAAAGGAGAGTTTGAGACACCAAATTTTCCTGCATTCTGCAAAGTTTCTAGGCTGAAGAGGAAGATTTGTGTCAGTATAGGTCTATTCCTTATATTTAACTATACTGTAAATATTAGACTGTTGAGAATGTTTATTCCTGGAACTAGGCTGGGGCAAACATAAGGGTAGGGTTAGTGCTTTCAGTGGAAGACCCTGCATACTGTGACATTCTATATGAAGTAGAGAGCAAGCAAGGGAGCAAGGTCAGGGCTGCAGATTATGATTACTTTTAGTTTTATTAAGCTCTCTGCCAATACTGATGGTTGACATCAGTAGAGCTTTGTGGGGGTTGTATGGCTCAGATATCTTGGATGAGGTGGTATAAGCATGGACTTGTATTTACATGCTTGATTTGTATTTAGGGCAAGCGTGGGTCACCTGGTTATTTTCATGATTAGGAGTATGACTAGGGATAGGGCACGGATTTAGGAAAAGAGAACTAAAGGAAGTCAAGTCTTTCATGAATTCTGCATGGTTCACAGATTTTGATAAAGATTGGTGTCAAAATATGTCTATGGCTTATGTCTAGGAGTTCAAGTAGTAGCCACCTGGCAGTATTTATGATTAATCATTTGATTTAGGGTATCAATAAGGCAGGACGAAGGATCTGGTGACTTTTACAGATTCTGTATGCCTTTAAGACCTAGAAGGAAGCCTGATGTCAAGTTGGAGCCATAGTTTATTTCTTCTGTGGTAAAGTGGAGTTATCAATCTACCTACATTTAGAAATTAATGTACCTAAAAAAAAAATTGGTAGAAAAGCCCAGTTCTCCACTGGATTTTAAAAGGCTTGGAGATGTAGGGTAAGGACTGGTGAAACATGGGTGGTGATTCTTTTTTTGTTTGTTTTACTGCATGCACTGGACTTCAGAGTACACTTAATCACTAGGATTGTAACTGGAGATAGGTTTAGAGTGCTGGAAAGGCAGGACTGTAGAAGATAAAATTTGCCAGATTTTTCACAATTGAAGATGTGAAATGAGGGCTGTGATCAGCAACAGAATCTGACTTGAATGCCATGCCATGAAAAAGAAGTAAATGTCAGTACAACAATCACTTATTTAAATTCTCAGATAAACACATGAGATATGTCTCATATGTGATAGTGATGAAATGGTGTCTGATAAAATCACAGCACCAGCTGCTATGACAGCCAAATAGTTTATGTGGCTATTTGTATTAAAAGAGTAAAATAAATAAGAAACCAGAGCAGCTGAGGCCTTTAAGCTGCTATAGGAAGGGTGAGCAATGTACCTTCACAAATGTGTCTGAAGGAGGAAAGCAACCAAGGCAAAGTGACAGAAGGATCCAGCCTCGAGCATAGCTGCTCCTGTTGCTGTTTTCACTTAGTTGCTTGCAAATCTGGCAATAAATCTCATCTCTGTAATAAAACACGTGAAAACAACATGATAATGATTCACTGGTTGAACTGTCTTTGGCTACATTTCCATTGCAAGCTTGGCATGATTGTAGCACGATGAAGTAGATCTGAGCTAGCTTTAATCACATTAGCTAGGATATCACCCGTAGTTTACCACAGGAAATAACTGCATCCTTGGCATTGATAGGAAAAGACTTCTGCCCTTGGCCACCCCTTGTTACTCGAGCAGTTCAAGCACACTTCCTGTGCTGGATAGACCTCATTTGACTAGCACGGGGGCTGTGTTGAGATAGCAATTGCTGGGTCATCCAGCTGTGGTATTTCATTGCTGCCTTCCACATGTGAAACCTGTCCTAAGCTCTCCACAGTACACGGTGTTTTTCTCATGGCTCTTGCCTGTCTGCTCATATGTGGCTTTTGGGATAAGGACAGTGGCACAGCTCACTTAATGCTAGGATTTGTAAGCTTTTAGGAAACTGGGAGTGAAAAGAGGAGCGAGCCCTCGGACAGGAATGCAGGAAGGGGCGCTGCAGGGTGAGCTTCTGAAAATGCACGTACAAGGACATATGAGAAACAGATGCAAAAAGCAGCATAAAAACAAAACTGCTGTTTAAAAAAGTCATCTGTGATTCTGTGATCTTAAGTCTTCTGGGCTCCAGGGACACACTTTTGGCAAGTCTGATGTGGGAAGACACAAAGGCAGATGGGGTCTGCGCTCCCAGGTGGGGCATATGGTGAAATAAAGTCTGAAGGAGCAGATGCTTAGCTGGTGCCCATTATGATTCATTCATTGAAGACAATTTTTGCCAGATGAGGCTTTGCTTCTGGGAGCATCTTGACTGAAACAAAGCAGCTAAGTAGAGAAGAAAGCAGTTCACAACTGAGGCCAAGGCAGGGCCTGTACTTATGGGCTTTGTTACAGAAAAGTGTCACATAAGTTGAAACAGGCAAGCCTAAAATGGAGGAGAGGATTCGCAAGGTCGGGTCAGAACCAACCAGCTTCTGTCTCATCCTCATAAAGCGTTTGGGCTAAGGGTCATCCTCACACAGCTGGTGAGCAGGATTTCCTCTTCAAGTGGCTGAGATAGTCAGCAAGCCAGCCCTTCAACTATCTTTGATTTGGGGACATCTCTTGAGGGCTCAGAAACAGGTTCTAAAAACCTCTCTAGCATGTCTTAACCCCACATTTGTTACTCTCTCTCCTGATTTTTTCATGTCCCTCCTACTAGGGCTGTATTCCGCCTTCAAGTGTTAATGGGTTCCAGCACTGAGCTCTGCCCCATTGCACGCTTGTGGGGCATTCAGAAAGCCATACACTGAGACAGGTGACCTGAACTATGCGATGAAGATATCAGGAGAGGCAGTGAGGCAGTTGTTTTCCATCCCCTCAGACACAGGTGAACCATCCTCTGAAAGGGCATGTGGGCTGCAGTCTCTCAGTCGCATGTGACTAGCTTGGATTTTTGGTCAGGAGTCCCCAGAAATGAATGGGGGACATTTCCAGCATTTGGAAAATGCCCTCTGGCTTTGGAAAGGGAATACTGGATATTCGTGATGTAATGGGTGTTGGTCCTATAAAGAAGGTCCAAGTTTCCTACCTGATGGCAGGGCGCAGAATTGCATTGCCAATAATGAAGTGCACTTTTTCGAGGTTGGACATAGGTCTCTCAGAGATCGAGCTGTCCTCCTGGAAAGCTTCTTCTCCACTTCTCAGCTGGTTTGCCACCTGAAACAAATCAAGCAGAACCCCAGAGTGCTCTGGAAACCTTCCCTCATACCAGGCAGCTCTCCCAGAAATGAGAGATGCTCCATCTTTCTGGCTAAAACTTTTCCTGCTCATTGCAGCAGCAGCAGCAGTTAAGAACAGACCATACTTTCAACTCAAAATCTCGTCTTACAGCACTGTTCTTACTGGCTTGGAGAACTTTCATGTATTACCCTGTTCAGCTCTAAGCACATGGTGGTTCTTAGCCTTGCTCAGGGCTTTGAGCAAACTATTCTGTAATACCAACAGCTCCCAGCAATAAAAGGTTCTCTGTGTCCAGGAGTTATTCTCCAGCAGGAAGGAGTGAAGGGAATCAGGCAGGGAATGAATGACATCAGTGCACATGGGGAGAGTTTCAAAGAAAGGCAAAAAGTGCCCTGGGTATCCCCTGCACAGGGTGGGCTGCACTGGCCTGGCAGGAGAATGAGTTCCCAGCTGGGAGGCTCCAGT